AAAGAAACATTTCCCCCCCCCCCCCACCCCATTTGCCCGAGCAACCACTTCTCTTTATTAGTGCCCGTGTGAAACAATTCGTCGATCTGGCCGTCAATCGTTACTGCCCACGATCTTTCATGTACATATACCGACACGATGCACATATACACACGGAACGAATACGAACATCCACCTATATATATATATATATATAGGTATATATATATACACATATATATGTATATATACACACGTAAAACAACGAACACACACGTATACACACGTATATATTACGCACACTCTCATGTACACTTACAACGTGAGTGCATGCACGCGCACAGGAATGCAATAGATTCTCCTTATGAAAGCTCCTTCGTTCCTTGTCGCTGGCATAACATTCGAAAGATCATAGCTGATAGCCTTTCCCTTTCACGCGAGCAAAAAGTAAGTTGGAAATGCTTGGTAACTTGGTATTTACAATTTTCTATGCTCGAAATGGGCATAGATTTTTCAGGCGATCAATTTTAAAAATGATCGGGAAATGGCGGCGGATAAAATGGTGATTTATTTTCGGGATTTTCGGGGAAACGCGTGTACCGCAAGTAAAATAACTGGAATAGGGAGCAAAGTTAAACGTTAATGGTGAGTATTAAATCTTTCTTTTTTTTTTTTTTTCCATCCATCCAAAGCTCGAAATTGCATTTGTATGTATATATACACTATGAATGTGTATGTACCTTCATTGTGATTGCATCGTAACATGTATTTTATTTAGAAAAGAAAAGAAATAAAGAATCGTGATGCAAATCGAAAAACAAATGTGTCGTTGTTGAAAAAAATTTTTAAAATTTAGCGAAAGATATATCATTAATCATTAGCTTTCTTAGATTAGATAGAATTAGAAATACGTTTACAGCATGGATAGAAGAAAATCTCGTGTTTGATCATTCGAATCCTCCATATTTGCCCAAACTTATTCCAGTTATTTTATTCGCGTATACATATTTATAAAAAGAAAAAGGACAAAAAGTTGCGAAAAAAATATTACTCCTTTATACATTTATATATATATATATTCTACGATACGACTCGAACGCAATTCTTTTCCGTATCGAATTTTTCGAACGACAAAGAAGACATCCAATCGCCATTTCTTTTCAAAACTGATGATCGATCATCATCCCGAAAAGAAAAAAAAAAAAAACCTTCCTCCCTCCTCCTCCTCGAAATATTTCAAATAACAGGAGGACAAAGAAGCGTTCGAAGTTTTAAATACAATTTTCCGGATTACTTCTCCGGATTGGATGTCGGCCGATCGCGCAATAACGTCGCCGTGATCGATCGCCACCCCGTGAGACGTGCACGAGATAATCGATTAATTGCAGCCCGACCACAGGAAATTCGTAGGTTTAATCCGGTTCTATCGCGAGGGGGAGAGGAGGGAAGAGGAGGGAAGAGGCGGATAGGGCGTTCGTTCGCCCATTCGTTCGCCCGTTCCCTCGCCTCCCCCCCCGCGCGTTTCGAGGGCCGATTGGCGTTCCGTCGATGAAATTAGTTCGGTTGCCGTGCACAGAATCGCATCGCCTCGGGCTGTGCGCCTCCTTTGATCTACTCCTCGTTCGTCGCGAGTCGAACACCCTCACGACACAATCGTGTAACGCGATTACGTTAGGAGTTACGCGCCTCCTGTTTCGGTGTGCAACATTCCTCGACATTGCCACGAAATGCCGATCGATCGCGTCGAAATTTTTAATTCGTCGTCGAATACTTCGTACGTGTCGACAAACGAGTATCGATACGATATAGATGGAACAGATTGATTTTAACTTTAGGATCTTTTGAAAAAAAAGAGAAAATGTTTCTCTCTCTCTCTTTCTCTCTGTCTCTCTTTATATAGGTATTTTTTTTTTTTTTTTTCCTATCAAGTGTATCAAACGAGAGTATCTAACGGATGGTAATTAAGCTACGGTTTGTTTGCCTTTTTTGTTTTTTTTTCTATTGACTTTTCTGAATTTTTTATTTTATATTTGCACACCGCCGAGAGATTCGGTATTGATTTTATCTTACTGAAAAGGTAAAAATACATAACGGCGAAATTGTTGTTTCCCTCGGCTCGTAAACAATCGGATATCGTTCCCATTTCGAGTTGCAAAAATACGAATGCGAATTTGGCTAACCTTTGATATTTATACGATCGAATAATATATATATATATATTTTTCGCGATAAAATTTACACGTTCGAGCGGAAATTTTTCTTTTTTTTTTTTTTTTTCAAATTCTCCTCCGAATCAACGCAACAAGCGCAACGACGTTTAATAAAACGCATAAAAACCGTAAGTAGCGAAGGTTATATTCGGTTCACAACGAGGCAGGCCAACAAAATTTGGTCGAAAGGTGTGACGATCAGCTTGATTGACATTGCATTAAGTCCGGCTGGTTGCCACGATAGCGACTCGTGTTAACGAGTTAGAATTAATTGTGCGCGTGCATGGACAACAACAACAGATACCAGAACACCGGAAGAACACCGAAGCCATCCTCGTGGCGCGAGAGACCACGAGCAGTATGTAACACGACAAAAAAAAAAAAGAAAAAAGAAAAACACTACACCAACCGATACCAAAAATGGACAAAGTACTATTTCGCGTGTATGAAACGATCGAAATGCTCGCAACCGCCAAAAGTAGGTTACACTCAGAAAAAAAAAAAAAAAAAAAAAAAAAAAAAAGGAAACGATCGAATTCTAAATCGTAGTTAGAGATCGGTTCGTGACAATAGTGATCTGGCCCCGTGATATACGTAGTCCGATTGGATGGTTTGTATCTGTTATTACACGCATAGTTTTTAGATGAAGCACAAACAAGTATTATTACACTATTTATTATCTTATTTTTTATTCACTATCTCTCTCTTTCTTTCTCTCTCTCTCTCTCTTTTTCTTTCTCCCTCTCTTTCTCGTCGAATCAAATGACGACGAGATTACGAGTACTACTTACTATTACTATTACTATTGATTTTTTTTCTTTTCCTTTGCATATTGTATTTACATACATATATATATATATATATATACATATACATTCTGAATATACGGCCTGATCTTACGTTTTTCCGAGTGTAGACCAAGTTTATTAAACTCATTTTCCGCTTGTTACTTTCTTCTTTTTTTTTTTTTTAGCTTTTTTTTTTAAGCTGGTCTGCTCTTGCAACTTGAAATTATTTATTACAAAATAAAAGAAAAAGAAGAATCGTGATCACACAAGGACTATAATAATGAAACAAGCTGAACGAAGCTACCGTTGTGTTTCCTCTCTAAGTAGAAATAAATAGTATCTTGTTCAATTTTGGACTCTATATATATATATATGAATATATATTATATATATAATACATTATACGCACGAACCGTCCCGTTTAGACCATTTTTTTTTAGACGCTAGCTGCTATGCCGCGGTTGCTAAGATGGGCTGCCCGCCTGCCACCAATTATATTATATTATATTATATTATATCTCTCTCTCTCTATATATATATATATATA